CCTCGCTCCCGGACCGGTCCCCATGGAAGAGATGGAAGAGGAGTTGAAATGCCCCGTGTGCGGCTCCTTCTATCGCGAGCCCATCATCCTGCCCTGCTCTCACAATCTGTGTCAGGCGTGCGCCCGCAACATCCTGGTGCAGACCCCGGAGTCCGAGTCCCCGCAGAGCCGTCGGGCCTCGGGCTCCGGGGTCTCCGACTATGACTACCTGGACCTGGACAAGATGAGCCTGTACAGCGAGGCGGACAGCGGCTATGGCTCCTACGGGGGTTTCGCCAGCGCCCCTACCACCCCGTGCCAGAAGTCCCCCAACGGCGTCCGCGTGTTTCCCCCAGCGATGCCGCCACCGGCCACCCACCTGTCACCGGCCCTGGCCCCGGTGCCCCGCAACTCCTGCATCACCTGTCCCCAGTGTCACCGCAGCCTCATCCTGGATGACCGGGGGCTCCGCGGCTTCCCCAAGAACCGCGTTCTGGAGGGGGTGATTGACCGCTACCAGCAGAGCAAAGCCGCGGCCCTCAAGTGCCAGCTGTGCGAGAAGGCGCCCAAGGAGGCCACCGTCATGTGCGAGCAGTGCGACGTGTTCTACTGCGACCCGTGCCGCCTGCGGTGCCACCCGCCGCGGGGGCCCCTCGCCAAGCACCGCCTGGTGCCCCCGGCCCAGGGCCGCGTGAGCCGGCGGTTGAGTCCGCGCAAGGTGTCCACATGCACGGACCACGAGCTGGAGAACCACAGCATGTACTGCGTGCAGTGCAAGATGCCCGTGTGCTACCAGTGCTTGGAGGAGGGCAAGCACTCCAGCCACGAGGTCAAGGCCCTGGGGGCCATGTGGAAGCTACACAAGGTGAGCCCCGAGAAATCCCACCCCGCGCGCCTCCGGCCCTCGGGCTTTGCAGCAGACGGGCCCCCCGTTTTGCGCACAGCGCGTCCCAGCGGGAGCGCAGTGCAGGTGCCTCCGACGTTGACCTCCCCGGCCTGGTGCATTGCAGGAGGCGTGGGGGGACCCTACGCGACGCACGGGGAGTTGAATGTCCCCAGAGAGTCGGTGTAGGGATGCTCTAGAGCGGGTCTCTCGGGGCTCCCCCTCTCCGCGGCGAGTCTGCAGCGGGTGGCCGCCGCCGGTGCGTGGGAAGCGCTGCGTACCTGGGCAGAGCCGGGCGCTAGAGGCCAGGCGGGCTGCCAGCCGGGGGAGAGGGACGGGGCTGGGGGCACCGGGGTGGTAGGGGCGGTGGGGGCGGGACGGCGGGAAGCTGCGGTGGCTGGAAGGGCTGACGCCGGCGGAGGCTGGGGAACTTGGCGAGGGCGGAGAGGTGCCGCGGGCGGAATGCTGATGAGCCAGCGGTGGAGCAGGCCCGGCGCTCCCGCCAGGGGGAGAACGCGGGGTCCGGTGGCTGGCGCTCAAAAAGCGGCGGGGCGAGGCGAAGCCCGCGGTCGCCATGACAACGGGGACGGCAGGCTCCGGCCCTGGCCCTCCCAGGGGAGGGGGATCTGGAACTGGAGTGACAGGACCGGGGTTTGCCTGGAAGCCAGGCAGGTGCGTCTCCCAGGGAAACCCGCTCCTCCCAACGCCCCCACACCCGTTTCTTCCGGAGGCAGCCCCTTTCCTCTTCAGTGGTTGTATGTACAAACTTTGGGACACCTGTTACCAGATTTATCTTTCCAAACTCCTGGTCGCACCACTCCTCTGCTCAGAAACCTCCAGGGGTTCCCCACGTTTCTCGGACCGTCACTGGGAGGGTCTACCAGGACCTACGTTACCTCTTCCCCTTTGGCCTCCTCGACCTCATTGCTCCCCGCTCACTCCCTCACTGCAGCCACACTGCGCCTCAACCAACACCAGGCACCTTCCCATTCCCGGCCCTTTGCATTTGGTGTGGCCTCAGCCTGAGTTTCCCTTCCCCAGCACTCTCCAGTGTCGCACTCTCTTGCCTCTATCAGCTCTTTGCTCTAATATCACCTTTGCTGTGCCACCCACCCAGACCCCCCCAACTCCCTCCCAGCTTTATTTTTCTCAGAAGTACTTATTACTGTCCAGCACACTGTATGTCTTAATTATAATGTTATTTTTGTATTTCTCTAATGCGCCCCCCCCCACACACACACACCTCAGAAAATCAGCCTCATGAGGAAGGTCTTTATATTATTATGCCCACATTGCTTAGAAGGAAGGAGATCACTCTTGAGTGATGTGCAAACATTTGACTTTTTGACTCTGTAAATGATCCACTGAGTTGGGGATGGAGAGGGCAGGGCAGAGGTTCAGGATGACTGGAGGGAGGTTTTCTTTACATCACTGAGTTACACGCCCCAGGATGTGGCAGGACAGAGAAGGTGGTGTTCAGGCCTCCCCTGTGGCCCTACTAAACATTTTCCCAGTATTCCTTGGATACTAGAAAGGCTAGTTTTTGAGAACGGCCAGCCCTGGGGTAAAGGCTGGAGTGTTGGCATTTTATTTACAGTAAGAAAAAAATAAAATGTCACCATTTTCAGCTACCCATAAAGGTTTTCTCAACTCCCTATCCCAATTGAATGCGACTCATGTTTACAGTCATTGTATTTTGACATTAAAAATATATTAAACCACAACAATACTGATGGAGATTTAACTAAGCACAAATTTGAGCCACACAATCACTGTTTCTAAAACACATGAATTTAATTTTTTTAAATGACATTTAATCCCGAAAGCTTTCAAAACTTCAGCTCACAGTAAATTTTTTCTTCATATTTTGATTTCACTCTTAAACTACTAACTTTAGTCTATGTTGAATTGCCCTGCAAATTATCCATGGGACTAAGAAATTAATCACACAGTCTGGAAAAAGAACTTAGAGCCACAAGCTAATTAGGATGGTCAAACCACAGCATTATTTTTCTGTGACTAAGAGCCTTTACTTGATCCATTAAGACCAAAAGGAAGCTTTAAGTCTCTGTCAAGCCCCATGTGGGTTTAAAATATTAAACCATTTGTTTTATCAATAATAGAAGTTGTGAGTAGACACTCTGGTGCTGACTGGGCTGAAATTTGGAAATCTGTCTGCTAAAAAAGTAATGTTAAAACCTTTGAGACATGAGGTAAGTAGGCTAGAAGGCCATTTATTCTCTGACCTTTTGCACTTTTTTTTCCAAAACTGTAAGTAGGCATATTTTTTCAGTCAATATAAGGATTATTAAACTGCCAGAAGGATGACAGATTTAACATTCACTTGTCATCTGTTAGATGAACAACAAACATTACTCTCCCACCTAATTTTCTTAATAAGGAAGTTAATGGGTTACTGCTGATTTTCTCATGTAGTCTATGTTTTAGTTAGTGATACTTCTATCTCCACAAAAGCTTGTGGGCCAGAATTTCTATGCCCTTCAAAAATAAGAGAGCAAAGAATTGTACTAAGTAGGTCTCTCAAAGTTGGAGTTAGTTATCAACACAGTTTATTAATAGACCTGAAAAGTTTTCTTTCATGTTCTACCATATTAATCATTTCTACTGATAAAGAAAATTCTGTGAATAAGTAATTCCTGCAGGCGCAAGTCTTGATCTTACACATTTGAGACAAAATGGCTGAAGTTTACTTTTTAAATGATTTTATAAACAACTGGTTGAAATTTGTTCATTGACAATTGACCAAATGAAAATGTTTTTCAGATATTTATAGCCTTCAAAATTTGTGAGAAACTATGATACTTGAAGTGGTCTTACAAGTGAAATATCTGGTAACAGTTTTTATTTATTTAGCACTTGCTGTATTCCTTTATTCAACTTAGATTGATGTAAGAATGGCCACACACACAAAAATGATTTTGTAGATGATTTAAAATGGACAATTGAAAGCATTGCTATTACTTGCAGTTTTAAGCAGTTCATATTCCTAAATCCTAACACTGCCCTTGAATTCCTTAAGTGTTTTATCAATCACTGAGTCAGTAGTATATTTGCACCATTCTTTTGTGTTTGTGCTATTGAGCAAAGATTTTCTTTTCCTTTCTATCCTAAACACAATTCATTATGAATCTTGTCTCAAATGTTAATTCTCTCTTACCTTTTTTTAAAAATGAAGACTTGCAATTTAAGCCACATTTAAAAATAAATTGTCAGTTTATATACTTTCTTTTCTAAAGTATATTCTGAAAAAATATCTGCTTAGCTTTCTAGTGGCATCTCATTAAATATTTGTATAGCAAAGTGTGTTATATAATGCCTCTAAAATGATATTCAGTCAACTGTATAAAAATACATTATAATCTATATGTTCTATGGTAAATGTAGCAGGTAGCATCTGTTCGTGTTTTCAAATTTCTTTTGATTTACTTCTAGTACAATCAGAACATTCTGTGTGCAATGTAAACATTTTTACAGATATCAAGGAGAAGGTGACGGAGAAGACAGTTGTTCCTCTTTGTACTAAGGCATAATGGAAAGAACTAGAAGACAGGGGGTCTAGGTTCCAGGACTGATGATCGCACTTATTTTAGGAGACTTTAAGCAAGTCTTATAATCTCTCTGTACTTCCCACCTAAAAGGATATAAAGGAGTTAAAACTATATTTGTGGAAGAATTTTGAGAAAATAACTTGAATGTTTATAATTTATTAATTTCATTTCATACAACTGTGAAGTATTTGTGTACAGCAAAAGTCGGTGTTTCACTAGTCGACAACTATTGCATAAAAATCTCATTCCCCAACTAGGTGTCTTTGGTTTGCTCCTTTCAGAACACAGGGTATTGTCTGAAGCTGCCCCAAAAGACGGCCTCAAAGAGTAAGGCACATCCTCAGGAGTCTGGGGAGAATATTCATTTGAATTAAGTTCAAGGAATAAGAATCATACAATTTAATTTACTCGTACTATGTATTTCCATAGCAAAGCTAAAATGATAACTAATATGACTCAGTTTTCTTCAGACTCACCAATAAAGATATTATCACTTTGAAGTAGCAGAAATTGTTCTTCCTGTATATACCATGAAAAATGCTATTAATTGGAGTTTCAGGTCAAATCACAGTTTGCATAAAGTAAGAGACAATTATCACAACCATCTGTTATTGGGTAATAAGAAAAATGTACAGGCAAACATTGGCCTTACCATCAGTACAATAAATTGCACTTCCCTAACCTAAACAAGTTAATGGACTTTTCAAAGTGTGTATATGCATATAAGTTAACTTTAGCATAGAAAAGGGTAGAACCCACTACATGATAAATGTTTGAGAACAAAATAGTTCTAAATAAATTATTTTATCAGGAATTGTTTGTTGTAAGGAACAAAAATCCACTTAGATGATCTCAGAGAATTTCATGGGAAGGGAAACAAAACCAATTCACAAGGAGAATGAAACTGGAAAACTGGAAACTAAGTCCACTCTCTGTATTAGTCAGCTTGGGCTAACTTATGCTGCAGTAACAATCTTAATTACAACAACAGCATCTGATTTCTTGTGAATTACAACACAGCATCTGATTTCTTACTTGTGTCAATGTCCACTAAAAGCCCCCTCCGCCTTTTTTTTTTTTTTTTGGCTTTAGCTAGTTTTTGTTGGCTTGTTTGTGTTGGTAACCTCCAGTTACAGTTCTATAGGTCCTGACTGCCTAACCTCACTGACATTTTCTATGCACCTATCAATGCCTGATCAGCTATGGACACCTATCCAATCAACCCAAATGAGATAAATGAAGACATCAACTGTAAATGCTGAGAAATAAAGGCATTCTTTCTTCCCACTACAAGACAACATTAAGTCAACTGAGAGGCCCTAAAAGCATGTGAATTAACACACATAAGAATTTGTGTTTGAGAATTCTAGTTTTTATTAATTCTACATATAGTCTCTAGAATACTATGCTTAG